TTGCGCTCGGAGGATTTTCTGCTCCTCCTCCCGGTGGCTGGCGGCCAATGCAGGCTCCGGGCGCTCCCAGCAGCCCCCTCCTCCCCCTCCGCCCGCGCCTCCCCCCAGCCCGCGCTTTTGTTGTGCCCGGCCTGGCACGTCGGGGGCTTCCCGCACCACCTGGCGCCCGCGGCCCACACCCGTGCGGGGGTCCCCGGACGCCCCCAGCCCCCCGACCCCTGTCCCCGCTGGGTGGCCTTCTGCGCCCGGGGGCCCTGACTCAGCGCGTGGGACTCGCGCCCCGTCCCTCCAGGGCACCGGGCCACCCACCCGCCACCCTTTCCCCTCCAGCTCGACTCTGGAGTGCTACGCTGCTCCGTCCCCCGCCACCCCGGGGTCCCTTCGAGCTCAGCCTCGAGGCGAGCCAAGGGGTGTCCTTTGGAGCAGGGGCCGTTCCCTGTCGCCGCCTCCCCGTTCCTGTGGGCGGGTGGCCAATTGAGAAACAGACAGGATCCCTTTTTCAGATGGAGGCCTTAGAATTTCAAGTGCGCCTGGCCAGTTTAGTTGGGGGGTGGGGGTGTGGTTACTGTGAACAAAACAGGATTTTATATAAACTGGCCATATTTTTGACCAGCCAACAAGAGACGGGGGTGGGCCCAGGCGCCCAGGAGCCAGTAGGATCGCAGCAGAGGCATTGGCTGGGCTCCGCTCACAGTTTCCTCTCTTAGCCCACAAATGTGGGAGCCGAAGGACTTTTCCCAAAACAGTTTTGTGTTCCAGGAAAGACCCAGGCATATGAAGGGATGAACATGTGTAGGGTGGTGAGGCGGGCCTCCTGGCTGTGAACCTGCCTGCGCCCGGCTGCGGGCACCCACCCTGCACATCCGGTGTGTGCCCCGAGGGGCTCCGTGGACACTGCTGCACTGAGATCAGCATTCCAGGGTGTTTACAGTCCAGCTAGGGAGATGGAAGCCTAGGAAAATGACACAAGAAGAATCAGGGCGGGCACGGTGGCTTGCGCCTGTAATCCCAGCACTTTGGGAGGCCCAGACGGGAGGATCACTTGAGGCCAGGAGTTTGAGACCAGCCTGGCCAACATTTAGTAGAGACAGGGAAACCCCGTCTCTACTAAAAATACAAAAATTAGCCTGGTGTGGTGGTGCACGCCTGTAGTCCCAGCTACTCAGGAGGTTGAGGCAGCAGAATTGCTTGAACCCAAGAGGCGGAGGTTGCAGTGAGCGGAGATGGCGCTACTGCACTCCAGCCTGGGTGACAGAGCAAGACTCCGTTTAAAAAAAAAAAGAAGAAGAATTGTCCACTAAACTGTGCAGTGCTGACTTGAGGTATGAAACTTTGGAAAATAGTGAAAGAATGGAAAAACAGCTTCTTTCTGTTTGTGTATGCTTTGTAGCAGCTCTGAGAAAAGTTAAATAAGCAGAGCCGTTATTTTTAGCACCCTGACAAATCCAAAGTCACTTTTTCAGTTTTTGTTAGCGTGAAATAGAGTTGTGTCGTTCACAAAATGATGTTTGAAGCTAACGTTTAAAAGTACAGTTAATTCAGAAAATTGTTACGTGCTGGCTGCCTGCAACCATCTCATTGTTTTCTTTTCTTCTTTTTGGTTACAAGGAGAACAAAATGTGGTTGAGCTTGTGTTTCAATTTGTCAGTTCATGATAGAAATAGGTAGCTTAGGGGCTCTCGGTCTTTTAGACAAGCTCTACACATAAATGATCAGGTACATGTTAGGGTGATAAATACTTAGAGCAGCCGTGGTGCTGACAGCCAAGGGGGCGGGGCCAATATGGATGTACCTGGGAGGAAAGGCGGGCCTGGGCTCCAGGGTCAGGGGGCATGAGACTGGAACTTCCAACCCAAGGCCTCGCACCTGCGTCCTGGATCGCCCTCCCCGAAGACATCCACACCAGCACACAAACAGGCTGGAATTGCTCCCAGGAAAAGTTAAGCAGAAATCTTGCCAGGTGCAGTGGCTCACGCCTGTAATCCCAACACTTTGGGAAACTAAGGTGGGAGGATCGCTTGAGGCCAGGAATTTGAGACCAGCCTGAGGAATATAGTGAGATCCTTCTCTACAAAAAAAAAAAAAAAAAAAAAAAAAAATTAGCTGGGCGTGATGGCGCACACTTGTAGTCCCAGCTACAGGGAAGCTGCGGTGGGAGGATCGCTTGAGCCTAGGGAAGTCAAGTCTGCAGTGAGCAGAGATCGCACCACTGCACTCCAGCCTTGGTGACAGAGTGAGACCCTGTCTGAAAACAAAACAAAAATCTTCTCTCCCCCTCAATTCCCCCACCAGAGAGTACCCTACTTTTCTGCTCCCTCTACCATTATCTCTTCCCAACAGGTCTCTAAACCAGAAGTTTCCAGCTTTCTTTTCCTCCCTTTTCTCTTGGTTCTCTCTCTCTCCCTCCTTCCTCCGTCCATCAACAAATATTCATTTGAGCATCTGCTGTAGCCTGGACACCGTCCTAAGAGTGAGATTCAGTGTCTAGAGAACAGAGGAACATCCCTGGAACAGCAGGTGGAAGCACGGAAGGCTCCAAGGTTGGAAGGTGCTGGACCTGGTGGAGCCCGTGGTGTGGCAGAGGAGTGAGAGGAAGGAGGGTTGAGGCAGGAGGCCAGCAGCAGGGGCTGGGAGGGGACACGGCGGAAGGCAGCCATGTTACCGGGAGGATGTGCATTTTGTTCTGAGTGAGGTGGGATCCTTTGGAGGGTTCTGAGCAGAGGGGCAGGATCGGACGCATCCTCTGGAAGGATGGGACTCTGGTGAGTGGCCCGGTTGGGAGCAGGGAGCCCAGTGAAAGGGCAGGTGCTGCAGATGCAGAGACTCCAGAGCCACAAAATGGTGAGCACAGAACCCCTTTCTGGTGCAGTGCCGTGCATGGCTGACCTGCAGCTGTAGAGTCAGATGCAGAGGGGACTGAGGTCTGAGGGGCCAGATGACTCTCCCAAGGGCACAGCAGGGAAGTGAGAGGGCAGTCCCAGAAGCCAGGCCTCCCTCACAGCCCACAACTCCCAGCTTGCTGACCCAGCCATCTCCCTGCCGCTTGGGGCCCTCAGGGTCTTGGCTCCTGAGCCAGCTTGTGTTCCACTGACCACCCTCCACCTTCTCTTCCAGTTAGGGTCCTCCAAGGAAACTGAGGCCTCACACCAGGAACCTAATGAAGATAGGGAGTAGACTGGAATCTGGCTCATGGCAGCACAAACCCACTTTTTCTTTCTTTTTTCTTTTTTCTTTTTTTTTTTTTTTGAGAGACAGGGTCTTGCTCTGTCACCCAACCTGGAGTTCAGTGGCTCGATCTCAGCTCACTGCAACCTCTGCCTCCTGGGCTCAAGTGATCCTCCCACCTCAGCCTCCTTCGTAGGTGGGACCACAGGTATGCCCCACCACACCTGGCAATTTTTTTTTTTTTTTTTGAGACAGAGTCTCGCTCTGTCGCCCAGGCTGGAGTGCAGTGGCACGATCTCGGCTCACTGCAAGCTCCGCCTCCCGGGTTTACACCATTCTCCTGCCTCAGCCTCCCGAGTAGCTGGGACTACAGGCGCCTGCCACCACACCCGGCTATTTTTTTTATTATTATTTTTTTTTTTAGTAGAGACAGGGTTTCACCGTGTTAGCCAGGATGGTCTCGATCTCCTGACCTCGTGATCCGCCCGTCTCGGCCTCCCAAAGGGCTGGGATTACAGGCGTGAGCCACGGCACCCGGCCACACCTGGCTATTTTTTGAATTTTTTGTAGAGATGCAGCTTCTGCAAACGGCTCCTTCTCCTTGTCCTTCTCTGTGCTCTGTGGCCAGGAGGGCTCAACCTTGCAAGACAAACTTGAACACGGGGAAGGGCCACCACCCACAGGGGAAGGGACATATGCCCCACGCCCAGGGCAAGAGAGGAAGGAGCAAAGCCGACCCCGGGTTGGGAGCTCCCTCCACTGTTTCACTGCCTTTTTTTTTTTTTTTTTTTTAAGACAGATTTTTACTCTGTCTCCCACTGGAGTGCAGTGGCGCCATCTCGGCTCACTGCAACCTCTGCCTCCCAAGCTCAAGCAATTCTCGTGCCTCAGCCTCCCGAGCAGCGGGAATTACAGACGCCCACCATCACACCCGGCTAATTTTTGTATTTTAAATAGAGAGAGGGTTTCACCATGTTGCCCAGGCTGGTCTGGAACTCCTGCGCTCAGGTGATCTGCCTGCCTCGGCCTCCCACAGTGCTGGGATTACAGGCGTGAGCCACCACGCCCAGCCCATTGCTTCACTCCTAACCAGCCCCCTTCACTTCTCATCTTGATATTGGTGGGTGGACTACCGGGGGACCATAAAGGACACCCAGCCCAGCCACAGCCTGGGGGACCCTGGCTTGCACCAGTTTAAGAGCAGAGGCTCTCAGCCTCTCAGGACAGACAGGAGCATGAGGGAGCCCTGTGAAGTGTGGGGGTGATTTCAGGGCCCTCAGACCACACTCCAGGGGCCACCGCTTCCCACGAGGAACATCACCTTACTCCCCTACCCCCTTAAAGAGAGACCTTCCCGGCAGAGAGCACAGCAGAGCTGTCAGGCGTGTGTGCACCCGTGCCCAAACACACCCGGCAAACACGTCCCAGGCTGGACATGGTGAACGCTGTCTGGGGCCGGAGGAAGTGCCAAGGCCTCCTCCCTGTTGCTCCCGTCTCAGGCCCTCCCTGCGGTACCAGGCTGGCAGGAGGACGCTGCTCTTCTCGGCGGCCTCGCCCTCCCAGGCTGGATGAGAGCCATCTTCCCCTGAGCAGGTCACGTTCTCTCTCTGGAGACAGCTTGAGTGGACCCGAAGCCCCCCCACTCTTTCTGGGAGGTTCCCAGAGAGCCAGATGTTCTCATCCAGAGACAGCATGGACTTTGGCCCCACACAGCTGGGAAACTGACCCCCTGCTGACAGCTGAAACTCTGCCCTCAGGGAAGTGTCCCGGGCAGTCTCAGGGCCAGGGAGCTGGCAGCTGTGGGGAAAGATGGGGACCATGTCTGAGTCTGGCTGTCTGGGAGGTGACACATCAGTCAGGTGACACATAGCTCTCAGAGAGGAGCAGGCAGCTCATCTGTGCCTCCCCATCCAGCCGGGCCTCAGACTCTTGGTCACAATGGGCACCCAGCCCAGGTTTCCGTCCCCAACGTCCACTGGTGGGGCTGTTCGCCACAGGACATCCTGAAGATGACAAGAAGGTGAGACAAGAGTGATGGCTGGGCATGGTGGCTCACGCTTGTAATCCTAACACTTTGGGAGGCCGAGGTGGGCAGATCACTTGAGGTCAGGAGTTTGAGACCAGGCTGGCCAACATGGTGACACTCCATCTTTACTAAAAATACAAAAATTAGCCGGAATTCACTTGAACCAGGGAGGCAGAGGTTGCAGTGAGCCAAGATCATGCCACTGCACCCCAGCCTCGGCAACAGAGCAAGACTCCATCTCAAAAAAAAAATAATAATAATAATAGAGTGACTGGGACCCACCGTGCTTGAGAAAAGATCCACAGGCAGCATGAGCTGCTCATCTGTTCTGTGGCGAACGGGCTGAAGGGCATTTCGACACGGATTTCATTCGTATTATTCTTCATTAGGGGCCGGGTTTCTCAGCCTTGGCACAGTTGACATTTGGGCCAGATCCCTCTTTGTGGGGGGCTGTCCTGGGCACTGTAGGGTGTTCAGCACCATCCCTGGCCTAGACCCACTAGATGCCAGCACCTCTCCAATTGTGACCATCAAAAATGACTCAAGATATTGCAAAATGGCCCTGGTTGGAAGCCACTAACAGATAAAAGTCTTCGGTCCTGAGCAAAGCAAGGTGCAGAGACACAGGAACAAAAAGGTTCTATTTCATAGAGAACAAGAATGCAGGCCGGGCGCAGTGGCTCAAGCCTGTAATCCCAGCACTTTGGGAGGCCGAGACGGGCGGATCACGAGGTCAGGAGATCAAGACCATCCTGGCTAACCCGGTGAAACCCCGTCTCTACTAAAAAATACAAAAAACTAGCCAGGCGAGGTGGCGGGCATCTGTAGTCCCAGCTACTCGGGAGGCTGAGGCAGGAGAATGGCGTGAACCCGGGAGGCGGAACTTGCAGTGAGCCGAGATCCGGCCACTGCACTCCAGCCTGGGCGACAGAGCGAGATTCCGTCTCAACAAAAAAAAAAAAAAAAAAAAAAAAAGAGAACAAGAATGCAGATAGGAGAGTGAAGGTCCCCACAGCCTGGAGACCAAGGCACGCACCACGCTGCTGACACCGATTGTCAGGGGAGTGAGGCCAGGCACAGAATTGATTTTTTTTTCTTTTTTGAGACGGAGTCTCGTTCTGTCACCCATGCTGGAGTACAGTGTCACGATCTCAGCTCACTGCAACCTTTACCTCGCGGGTTCAAGCGATTCTCCTGCCTCACCTTCCAAGTAGCTGGGATTAGAGGCACCTGTCACCACGCCCGGCTAATTTTTGTGGTTTTAGTGGAGACAGAGTTTTACTATGCTGGTTGGGCTGGTCTCGAACTCCTACCTCAAGTGATCTGCCCACCTCAGCCTCCCTAAGTGCTGGGATTACAGGCATGAGCCACTGTACCCAGCCGAAAAAGATTTCTTTTAAGTGTCCATGGTATGGACAAAGTGTCTGGTGCCTGTAATCTCAGAACTTTGGGAGGCTGAGGCAGGAGGATCACCTGATGCCAGGAGTTTGAGACCAGCCTGGGAAACACAGTGAGACCCATCTTGACAAAGAATTAAAGAAATTAGGTGGCCAAGACCAGGCGCAGTGGCTCATGCCTGTAATCTCAGCACTTTGGGAAGCCAAGGCAGGTGAATCACTTGAGGCCAGGAGTTCCAGAGCAGCCTGGCCAACATGGCAAAACCCTGTCTCTACTAAAAATACAAAAAGTTAGCTGGGCGTGGTGGCATGCCTGTAGTGCCAGCTACCCGAGAGGCTGAGGCGCGAGAATCACTTTCACCCAGGAGGCAGAGTTTGCAGTGAGCCAAGATCGTGCCTCTGCACTCCAGCCTGGGTGATAGAGCGAGACTCTGCCAAAAAAGAAAAAGAAAAGAAAAAAAAGAGAAAGAGAAGGAAGGAAGGAAAGAGAGAGAGAGAAAGAAAAAAAGAAAGAAAGAAAAAGAAAGAAGGAAAGAAAGAAGGAAGGAAAAAAAGAAAGAAAGAAAAAAAGAAGGAGAAAGAAGAAAGAAAGAAGAAAGAGAGTGAGAGAAAGAAAGAGAAAGGAAGGAAGGAAGGAAAAGAAAGAAAGAAGCTGGGCATGGGGGCACGTGCCGGTAGTCTCAGCTTTTCGGGAGGCTGAGGTAGGAGATCACTTGAACTCAGGAGGCAGAGTTTGCAGTGAGCTGAGATCGTGCCTCTGCACTCCAGCCTGGGTGATAGAGCGAGACTCTGCCAAAAAAGAAAAGGAAAAGAAAAAAGACAAAGAAAGAAAGAAGGAAGGAAAGAGAGAGAGAAAGAAAGAAAAAAGAAAGAAGAAGAAAGAAAAAAGGAAGGAAGGAGGGAGGGAAGGAAGGAAGGAAGGAAGGAAGGAAGGAAGGAAGGAAGGAAGGAATGAATTAGCTGGGCATGGGGGCCCGTGCCTGCAGTCTCAGCTTTTCGGGAGGCTGAGGTAGGAGGATCACTTGAACCCAGGAGTTCAAGGCTTTAGTGAGCTCTGATTGAACCACTGCACTCCAGCCTGGGCAACAGAGCAAAAGACTGACTCTGAAAAAAGAAAAAAAAGTTTCCGTAATAAAACAGCGTATATAATATTTCATTTATGTGAAGTCAAATATGTGAGTGGATCTAGAAAGAAGTATACAGGCCAGGCATGGTGGTTCACACCTGTAATCCTAGCACTTTTGGAGGCCATGGCAGGAGGATCGCTTGAGCCCAGGAGTTTGAGACCAGCCAGGACAACATGGCGAAACCGCATTTCTACAAAAAATACAAAAATTAACTGGGCATGGTGGCACACGCCTGCAGTTCCAGCTGCTTGGGAAGCTGAGGCAGGAGGATCACTTGAACCCGGGAGGTGGAGGTTGCAGTGAGCTGAGATAGCGCCAGTGCACTCTAGCCTGGGTGATAGAGAGACCTGGTCTCAAAAAAATAAAACATAAAAAAAAAAGCAGCATACAAAGGTGTTCACGGAAAGGTTAGTGGGTGCGCCTGGGCGATGGGAACTCAGGTAGGTGGGTATCTTCTGTCCTGCTCTGTGTGGAGCAGGTAGTGTAATGTTTCAATGAGTGTCCGGCCCTGAAATGGGCAGCCCTGGGGGTGGGAGTGCAAATGTTCCCCACCCTTTCTGTATAACACGGTTAAAGCCTTCTTGGGCGCAGCCATCAGGGTTCACTTTTTAAAGATCCTGCTCCACCTTCCAGCCACTCTTGGTTCGTGCCTCCCTTTGGTTTTTGTTTGTTTGTTTTGTTTTTTGTTTTGTTTTGAGACAGAGTCTCGCTCTGTTGCCCAGGCTGGAGTGTAGTGTCACAATCTCGGCTCACTGCAACCTCTGCCTCCCAAGTTCAGGCAATTCTCCTGCCTCAGCCTCCCGAGTAGCTGGGACTACAAGCACACACCAGCACACCTGGCTAATTTTTTGTATTTTCAGTAGAGACGGGGTTTCGCCATGTTGGCCAGGCTGGTCTTGAACTCCTTACCTCAAGTGATCCGCCCACCTTGGTCTCCCAAAGTGCTGGGATTACAGGTGTGAGCCACTATGCCTGGCCTTCCCTTTGGGTTTTGTTTTGCAAAGTCTATTGATCTATTTTATGCCATCCTACAGGCCATCTTTGAGAAGGTGGGACTTTGGCCTCTCTTCATCACTTCTATCTACTGTCACCCCACCCTGCTGCCCCTCCACAGACAGGCACCCCTCAGGGCAAAAGCAGCCATGAGCCAGGGCACCTCCCTTTAGCAAACCTGCTTGGATTCCAGCCTTCACAGCCCCAGGCTGCAGCCCCAAAGCCAGCCCTGTTGCCCTGGTCAAGTCTCCAGTGACTCCAGAAAGCGAGGAGAGGCAGAGAGGTTGTCCTGGTGGTGAGCAAGAAGCCCACGACATCACTGGCTCCACAGACTGCCACAGGTAAACAGCTTGAACCAGATGACTCAGGCTGAAAGCACATGAACCCTTCCTGCAGGGAGGTCGCCTGGATGCAGCAGTGGTTCCACCCCTGAACCAGGCAGCCTTTGAAGACCTTGCTTCATGTGGGCTGAAACGGCAGTGCCTCTCCTCTTTGTGGCCGGGTTTTGCCTCCTCTTTGACTCGGAAGCGTCTCCTATCCTGCAAGGACAGTTTGAGCAGAGCCCCTGGGCCCTCCTTCCAAGAGGCTCTTGCAGCTGTGGACCCCCAAGAGTTTATGCTGCTGAACTCTGCTGCCTCTCCCCACCTGTCTGCCCCCACACCTGTGACGCTGGCTCTCCTGGATCCTCCTGTAGACTGGCTCCTATAAGCACAAAGAGGAACATGCGAGATGCTGGGATTGGATGCTCGGGGCCTGGGGCTGGTGTTTCCTCATGCCCGGGCTATTTCTTTTTGGCCCTGGGCATGCCGTCATGTGCTTCCTTTCATGGGCGGGTTGGGGACCAGGGCCAGCGAGCAGAGACGGTCCCCAGGGCTTCTCCATCACTGACTCTTCCCAGGAAGCAGCCTCAGCTGGCGTTCTGGGGACCAGAGCTGGCCATGAGGGAGGGGTAGACGGGGAAGGAACCGGCTGCCCAGCTCAGCAGGGATTTGTGGAGGCTGACTTGCATGGTTTCGGGTTTGCCTTGCCTGGAAGCCTGGCCAGGGGAGGCTCAAGTTTCCCGCCAGCTGGCCTTCCTCCTCCTCCTCCGTGTGAGTGACGACCCATGGCCATGATGTCATCACCTCGTACAAACAGAAGGGAGACTGGCTTGGTGGAGCTGGCGGCTGTCCCATGCTGAGTGCAGCAGTAAATTTCATTTCAAGGCTATGATTAGGTCTGTGCCCAAGAATGTGCCCCTCTCTCCTCCCCTCTCCCCGGGCCTGTTTGTCTCCCTCTGTTCCTGTCCCGCCTGTTTTCCTCTTTGTCCTCCCCTCTGGTCCTTTCTCTCTTCTCTGGGGATGCTTCAGTTTCTCTGTGATATGGACCCTGTGGCCAGCAGCAGCATCAGGCCCGAGCCAGACTCTCGTTACCTCCAGTTTCAAACTCAGCCTCGTGTCTTCTGGAGCCAGCTTCAGGAAGCGTGGGGCAGGTCTGAGTCCCTGGACTTCCTCCTGGGAGGATGGGTTGGGGTGAGGGGCAGAGTTCCTGAAGGCCCTCATTCAGCCTTGAGCTGGAGAGCCAGACAGCAGGAAGAGCAGGCTTGGGGTGGCTGTGGTCACTACCACCGAGATCAGAGGCAGCGAGGCAGGAGAAAGGTGAGGAGAAACCAAGCTTTTTGAAAAGCGAGTCAGATCCTTCTTGCCATTCCCAGCTGGTTTCTGGAGGTTTGGGTCTGAGTCATTAACTCATTTTTTGGCATGGCCACCCTTCCTCTCAGCCTCGAGAGGGCCCTTGGGCTCTGTGGACACCTGTGACAGTCCTGCCGCCCATCACACTCAACCTTGCCTCCAGCATGACCCGGCCACCCTGGTTCTGTCCTGGTGCTCTCCGGCCCAGGAATGAGGCCGACGGCTCGTCACCCCTCAGTGTCACCTGCGTTCACCGGCCCCTGCTTGCCTCCCCTCGAAGGTGCCACCCGGCCACAGAACCGTGTTGCCGTGGATGCCCGTGAGGAAGGCTCCGAGGTCTGGACAAGTGGTGTCCCACTGCACCTGCACTGGGCTGGGCTGCCTGTGGGGGTAGAGGGTGCTCTGGGTCTTTGTCGGTGCTCCCTGTCCCGTGGGACTGTGGTTCTGACCCCTTGGAGGAGGTAGCAGAACACCCTGGATGTGGCCTCGTCAATGAGAGAGCCCACAGTCACTCCCAGCCCCATCAGACCCTGCCTGCCCCACATTCAGCCATCCTTCCTCATTAAGACCATCCTTCCTCATTAAGACACTGCCTGCCCCACATTCAGCCATCCTTCCTCATTAAACCTGTGCTCACCAGGCAACAGCCAGTTGAGAATGAGGCGATGAGCTGCAGCCCCGGGGAGGGGCCCAGCTGGGGCGGGGTGGAGGTGCAGTCGTCCTAGCAACCGGCAGAGGTGGACACCGCATTTCTGTGGCTCATCACCCTGACTTCATCTGGACTCCCTGTACTTTCTCTCGTAGATTTCTCATTCTCACGTCTGTCTCCCCCACTGACTGTAACCTCTTAAGGCTATAGTTCATTTATTCATTCAACAGGTATTTACTGGGCACCAGTCATGGGACTGTGCAGATGCCAGGGAAATGGATGGGGAGTGGCCCCTCCTTCCTGCAGTGCAAACCATCCTTTAATATTACCTTCTCTTTTTCTGGATAGAGAAGCATGTCAACTTTATTCTGCAATGGCTTATCTTAGCATAAGACATTTCTCTTAAAGGCAAAATCAGCTTCCCAGCATCCTTGCCTTGGAATCCTCACCCTCTGCAAAAACACTCAACTTTAATATGAAAGAGACAGAGACCATTGTAAAGAGTGTGCTGGGTGCGGTGACTGTGGTGCAACCCAGGGCAATGGACGGGTGCCAGCAGGGTTGGGGTGGTCTGGGGGCGCTGTATGGGATGTCTCAAGTGGGATCTGGAGGTTGAGTCGGGGTAATCCAGCTGGAGGAGGCAGGTGCTGCTTCAGACCAGGGAGCTAGCGGTGCTGGGAGGCCCATAGGCCGGAGGACACCCAGGACTCCAGGGGGTCAGGCTGGCTGAGCCAGAGCTGGGTGGGGGCAGAGCCTGGGCTGTCGGCACAGGGGGCTGAAGGTGAGTGCAGGGAGACGGAGACAGCAGCAGCTGTTGGTGGTGACTCACTGCTGCTCTGATGATTGGAAACACATGTTCCCACCGGCGCTTATTACTTACAGCCGAGGGTTCTTGGACGGCATGGACGTCAACAGGGAGAGGGGTGGGGAGGGAGAGTGGTTGGCGGTGGGGTTGTGGGGAGGGGCTCCAGGGTCCCTTACTTATCACTGCTCACTGACTCTGCCACTTAGAGTCTGCGGCAGGACGCTCTGGCCATATTCCTACTTGCTACCTAAAAAAAAAGAAAGAAAGAAAGAAACTTATGGCCAGGCATCATGGCTTATGCCTGTAATCCCAGCACTTTGGGAGGCTGAGGTGGGCAGATCGCCCGAGGCCAAGAGTTCGAGGCCAGCCTGACCAACATGGTGAAACCCCATCTCTACTAAAAATACAAAAAAATTAGCCGGGCATGGTGGTGGATACCTGTAATCCCAGCTACTTGGGAGGCTGAGGCAGGAGAATCACTTGAACCCGGGAGGCAGAGGTTGCAGTGAGCTGAGATCACGCCACTGCACTTCAGCCTGAGCGACAGGGCAAGACTCTGTCCCCCAGAAAAAAAAAGAAAAAACAAGAAAAAAAAACTCCTATTATGAAAAATTTCAGAATTGCAAGGAGAGAGGCCAGTACCAGGCCGACCCATGGACGGATACCCATGCTGGGAAATGATTGACTCATCCAGGTTTGTTTCATCAGCATCCACCCAAGTGGGTTATTTTGAAGCAAATCCCAGACGTTGTAGTTCACAGGCAAATATTGGAAGAACTTTTTTTGTTGTTTTTACAATTTTATTTCTTATTTCTTTTTAAATGAAGGATTACCTTATCTTTTTCTGGATAGAGAAGCATGTCAACTTTATTCTGCAATGACTTATCTTAGCACAAGACATTTCTCTTAAGGGCAAAACCAGCTTCCCAGCATCCTTGCCTCAGAATCCTCACCCTCTGCGAAAACACACAACTTCTCACCCATCCTTGCAAACATGCCCTGGGGATGCCTTCAGGCCTGAACATTTTAATTTGGCAGGTGGCCAAGCAATATGCTGTATTTCTCCTTCCTAATTCTTGAGGATTCTGAGTGGCTCTGCCTGAGGCATCTGCTATAGGTAAAGACTTGTGATTTTTTTTTGAGACGGAGTTCTGCTCTTGTTGCCCAGGCTGGAGTGCAATGGCACGACCTCGGCTCACTGCAATCTCTGCCTCCCAGGTTCAATCAGTTCTCTGGCTTCAGTCTCCCGAGTAGCTGGGATTACAGGCACGTGCTACCACGCCCGGCTAATTTTTGTATTTTTAGTAGAGATGGGGGTTTCACCATGTTGGCCAGGCTGGTCTCGAACTCCTCACCTCAGGTGATCCACCCGCCTTGGCCTTCCAAAGTGCTGGGATTGTAGACATTGAGCCACAATGCCAGGCCAAGGCTTGTGATTTCTCAGGAGCCTGGAGGTTTCTGGGTGGGTGAAGGGACATTTGAAATATGATTATTACTTATCATGTTGGAATGCCTACGACATGCCACTTCCCAGCCATGGTCTGGTCTGATTCTCGTCCCACCGGGCGGAAGGACAGTTTAATGCAGCAGCTCACTTGGGCTTGAGAATCAGATAAGCCGGAGTTCACCTCCTGCCGCCAGCTGTGTGACCTGAGCGTGCGTGCTTCATCGCCCCCACCTCTCCTTCCTTATTTGGAAAATGGGATCCTGCTAGCACCTGTCCGAAGGACAGTACCCCCTACAAAAAGACTGGGGCAGGTACAGCTGGGCTCTTGACTGCCCTCCTGTGAGAGCCTTCTATCCTCAGAACCCTTCAGCAACAGAAGGCAGTCGGGGCTGGGCCTCTGGAGGGTCTGCCACGCCGCTTGCTGTGACGGCCAGGTGCCCATCAGCTTGGGAGAGGTTGTGTTGGCCAGAAGGCTCCTGTGGGGCCCCATCCCTCAGGCAGTGATCTCTCTGGCCTCGATGGGGGAGGGGAAGAACCCTATTTAAGGCAGATGAGTTCAGAACACTGGCCTTGTCCACTGTGTCTCCTGGGCAGCTGTGGAGGGCAGCAGCCACTCCAGGCTTGGCCATCGCCCAGGAGAGATGTCTGGGGCTGCCACCCTCATATTGGCTGCCAAAGAAAATATTTTTTTGCAGGTTTCCTGTGAGCTGAGAATGAAACTCAACACCCAGCAAGATGAGTTGTACAGGGTGGGGAGGGAGGCTTGGTTCAGGGTGCTCCAGCCACACCGGGGCCTGAAGGTCTTGGCGGCTGAGAGGGGGCTGGGTGAGCAGAGCAGCCGAGAGTGGGGCTGGCCTGGGACCCCAGCAGAAATGGGGTTGTTGAGGCCAGGCATGGTGGCTCATGCCTGTAATTTTGGGAGGCTGAGGCAGTCAGATCACCTGAGGTCAGGGGTTTGAGACCAGCCTTGCCAACAAGGTGAAACCCTGTCTCTAAGAAAAATACAAAAATTAGCCGGGTGTGGTGGCATGTGCCTGTAGTCCCAGCTACTTGGGAGGCTGAGGCAAGAGAATTACTTGAACCCGGGAGGTGGAGGTTTCAGTGTGCTGAGATTACACCACTGCACTCCAGCCTGGGTGACAGGGCAAGATTCCGTCTAAAAAATAATAAGAAGAAATAAGAAAAAAAAAATGGGGTTGTTGGGAAAGTGCATGCACTAAAAAGGCAAAGGAGGTGACAGGCTGAGCCTAAACACTCATCAAGAGGCATGTGCTAGAAATGACTTCTCAATGGGGATTGCAGAAGCTCCAACTAAACATAAACAGGATAATAACAAACACTTCTGAAAAATACAGAATGCATAGTGAGTTTAGAAAGTTCAGATAAACCAGATAAACCAAAAGAAAAAATACAACTGATACTCATACAGAGAGCATTCCTCTTAGTATTCTGGCCCATATTATCCATTCTTTTTCTTTGCATGTGATTCTATATATTTTTTCATATAGATGAACACATATATAGCTAGTGAGATCGCATGTGCTGATTTGTAGCTTCTTTTTTTTAACCCAGGAAGTTATCATGGACATCTTCCCACGTCATTAGGCGTTTTCGTGCAGTGCCACTTGGAATGTCTGCACAGCATTCCGATGTAGCTCTCTCCCTCCCCAGGAGGCAGAATGCGGTTGGCAATGGCAGCTCCAGGCTTGGTGGCCCTTATAGCTCCCAGCCCCAAAGAGTAAGCAGGTGTCCTCAGCCGTTGCCATGGAAAATACCTGAGGATGGCTCTGATTGGCCAGGCTTGGATCCTGCACTCATCCTTGAGCCAATCGCTGTGGCCAGCAAGATTGAGGACTTTGGCCAGGCCTGAGCCATGTGCCCACCCTGTAGCCAGGAGGAGGCAGGTGGAAGGGATGCTGAGGCGACAACAAGCAGAGATACCCCAGGCTGCAAGCCGACAGGAACTCCATAAATATGAGTGGGAAAATACCCCATGGTGTCTTGGGCCTAAGGCTAAAGATCCAGCCCCTTCTCCTGAAGCTTGTAATTTTGGGGAGACCCCAAAATATGGAAAACTCAGTTTAAAAAGGGTTCAATGTCAAACATGAGATCAGGGCTACAGGAGGACTTTGCTGCAGGACAGACTTGGGTTTAAGTCCCATTTCCACCATGACCTTGGCCAGTCTCTTTCCTTTTCTGGAGCCGAGCTTCCTTCTGCGTAAAGTGGGAATAATAACACCTGCCACACTCACCAGTGGTTGACAATTTGATCTGCTGCCATGAGCAATTTGGAACCTGGCACGTAGCAGGTGTTTAATAGGTAGTAATTAGTAATAGTAGGCCGGGCATGGAGATGGCTCACACCTGCAATCCCAGCAATTTGGGAGGCCAAGGTGGGCGGATCACTTGAGGTCAGGAGTTCCAGACCAGCCTGGCCAACGTGGTAAAACCCCGTCTCTACTAAAAATACAAAAATTAGCTGGGCGTGGTGGTGGGCACCTGTAATCCCAGCTACTCGGGAGGCTGAGACAGGAGAATTGCTTGAACCTGGAAGGTGGAGTTTGCAGTGAACTGAGATCAAGCCACTGCACTCCAGCCTGGGTGACAGAGTGAGACACCATCTCAAAAAACAAACAAACAAACAAAAAAAATAATTGAGTAGTAGTAGTAGTGTTCAGGGAAGGGAGAGAGCGTGATGCACAGACCCAGTACTTGGAAAAGGCTGGAAAGTGAATGGTGGACTCATCACAGCCGTAAGGCGGAAATAACCCAAGTGTCCATCAACTAAGAAATAAACACAAGGTGGCCCATCCATGCAATGGATTATGATTTGGCCATGAGAAGGAACAGAGTGCTGACCCACATGCTACCACATGGCTGAACCTAGGAAACATTACGCTAAGTAAAAGTAGCCAGACATAAAAGACCACATATTGTGCGATTCCATTTATATGAAAGTCATAGAGACAGAAAGTAGACTAGTGTTGACTTTGAGCTGGGGCAGTGGTGCAGGTGGGGATGGGGAAATAGGGGCTTGATACTTGCAGTGTCCAGGGTTTCTCTTTGAATTGATGAAAATGTTCTGAAATTGACTGTGCTGATGGATCCACATCTCTGAAGATAGTAAAATCCACAGGCCAGTTGCAGTGTCTCATGCCTGTAATCTTAGCACTTTGGGAGGCTGAGGTGGGTGGATCAC